AAGGACAAACTGAAGGTAAGGACAGAAAACACGAGAATGGTCTCAGGCCTACAGACTCCCAAACTGTCTCTTTACAATGATTCCTTTGAAATAATTATTTCTACGAGTGGTCATTTAGTACAGGGGGTTTAAGACAGCAGGTTCATTAAAGAGAATCAGGATCACAAACTCATTTAAGTCTCCTTGAACCTGTTTAATCAAAATGATTTTCTGCTACTCTCTATTACAAGCCGAGTTTCTGTGGTGACAGATTAATGACTGATCCACTAAGCCATACCACCTCTCTTGTCACCAACTCTACTGACAGAGCCAGCCACTATTCTATCAATAAGCCCCATTTGCCCTTGAAACTCATGACAGCTGAGATGTTAAGATCAAAGGAGCAGATCAGACACTCACTGCCTCCCCAGTTCTGCTATAGAGACCACCAAATCCCCCAGAGTGTACACCAAGAGGAGAAAGAATGCAGGCTGGTCCTTATGGTCTCATTAGAATTACAAACTCAGGTCACTCCAGACTAAGATAAATGCCAGCCAAGGCAACATTTCTGATTCTTCAGGCCTGCTCAAGGTAATTATCCTGGAGTTAAATGTCAAGTCTAGTTTCATGTGTGCATAAGAAAGAAAATGTCATGTTTGGTGTAAGCAACAATATTATTTTAATCACATCAGAAGCTCATTATTAGCAGAAGATAAGCCCTGATGTGACCCCTACAGTATGCCGTATCTACCTGGCTTCTGTTCCAGTTTGCCTCAAACTAAGATTCTTCACTGATGGCCCTCAGACACGAAGTACGAAAGACTTACAACGTGATACCAAAGAAGCCTCACACCCTAAATCCACTCCACTCTTGACTGACTGCAAAACACAGCAAGAATCTGGAATCAGACTGCCTGGGTCCAGTCCAGGCTCTTCCACAGCCCAGCTCTGTAACTTGGGGCAACAGCCTCAACCTCCCAGTTGAAGCCGATAACGGTCAATAACAGTACTTCTCCCCTAGGATGGTTATGAATTTTAAATGAGATAATATATGTAAAGGGCCTTAAACAATGTGGTTGGTTAACATCAGGTATTACCTACTTCTGCAATATTTTAATTTTTTAATTACAACCAGAATGTATGACTGTTATAAGAAAAAACTTCTCAAAAAAAAAAAGATAGAAATGCATGAAAACCTTAAAGTATTTCCTCCAGTAGACAAGAGGTTACTGAGAAATCACATTATTTATCTTGTGCATGCTTACAGCCCACGCTGCCTAGCACATACTAGACAGTCAGATAGGTGTGGGAATGAATGTGCAAATAAATGTAAAAACGAACAGAGGAAAATTTCCTTAGAGGAATGACTATGAAAAGCAAAATCACACCGAAGAAAAATCTAGAGAATGACTGTAGCCTCTTGACCCCTCTATCTCAAACCACAAAGAAGTTAAATGTACGACTGCAGAAAACTGGAAATTATTGTACAACTTAATACAAACACCTGCCTTCTTTATCTTCTCCTGTGCAATACTGTATTTGTGCAAAAATCCCAGTCTCCATCTGACCAAAACATCCCAACAGCTCATCTTTATAAAAGAATGATGACCAAACAGACCACCAATTACATTTAGGAGCAAACATCTCCTAAGATCTCAACATTGTTCTGTTTCTCCTGGATCCCTCATTCCAGGCAACAAGCCATGGAGTAGTTCTGAAAGTTTTGTTTCTGTAAAGGAGACAGTGATTAAGTGTGTACCTAGAGCAACAGGACCACCTCAAAGTGCTAAGTAGTGGCTCTCAGGTCATCGCTGGCAATGCCACAGGACACTCAATGCAGGAGAGCAGGGAGCACACAGCCTGCCCATCATTTCCATTTCCAAGAAAGCCCAAGAACCATCACCAAAGCATATGATCAACATTCTAAAAGGAGACTTTAGGACCTCATTTTCAGTTTCACAAGACCAAAATTCACTTCTAAATCTTTCTTCCCCAGGTGCCTGGGTGGTTCATTTGGTTGAGCAGCCAACTGTTGGTTTCAACTCAGGTAATAATCTTGAGGTCATGAGATCAAGCCTTGGATTGGGCTCGGTGCTCAGTGGGTGTCTGCTTGGGTTTCTCTCTCTCCCTCTGCCTCTCCTCTCTCTCTTTCCTTCTCTCTTTCTCTCTCAGAAAAATAAATAAACCTTTAAAAAAGAAAAAAATTAAAAACAAATCTCTCTCCCCTGAGGGAACAAGCTTTTTTTTCACAATGATTTTCAAATATTGACAAGCATCATAACAGTAATCTCAGGACACAGTCTCTGTAAGTTATCAGAGGCCTCAACAAAACAACTAAAACACTAGCAGAGAAGCAAGCTTTGTCAGCCTTAAGAAAGACCTGGCTTAGTGCAAACAATCAGGCCGGCTGGGCAACTGCCCCATTAGCTGGGTCTTCGTCCACTGTCTACTGAACATCCAGTCTGCAGAGCAACCAACCTTTGTGGCCTGGTCCCAGAGAACAGAGGCTTTGTGGTTACTCCGAGTAAATGACCCAGTGAAGATGCTTTAAGGTGGAGTCAAGGAGTGTCTAGTTTGAGTTTCTCAACTTTGAAGAGGTTACTAGCCACAGCTGGTATCACAAGATCCCATGAAGCATATAAAATGGTTGATGATGAAACCTGTCTGGGACTTTCTCAACATTTTGAGATGTTTTTAAATGGTATGCTGGATAAAATGATCATTTTAAAAGAATATATGCTCATAAAAATCTTAACACCTAAAATTCTCCAGAAATAACAAAAAATTCTCCAGAAACAAAAAAGATTTCAAGAATGCTTTGAACACAGAAGCATTTCTCTTATTAAGTTTCAGACATTTCTACAATAGTTAAGGCAGTCTTTCCCAAACATCATAAGAATTACCTAGAGTGTTCGTTTAAAACAGAGTTTTCCAGCAGTCATTCCGGAAGTATGGAATCAGGCTTTCCAGGGGAGGAGTCTGCATGCTAGAATTTAACGAACACCCCAGGTGAGCTTCATGATACATCAGGTTCGGGACAACACTGACCCATGGATAAAAAAATGTCACCATTTGCAAGCAAGATGAAAAATAGAGAAAGCTCAACTTTTAAAAATTTAAAGCTTAATGGGAAATAAGAATAATGTCGTGCTTATGATACACCAAGAGTAGAAACCTTTGAGCAGACACAAAAGCACAGTAAACCTTTCCACACCCTGAAGGCCGGCGAGCACAGCTGTTTTCAATCTGACCCAGGTGCCAATCTAACCAAGGCATTGACAAAGGTGTGCCTTCTCCTCTACATCCGGCCCAATTCTTCCGCCTCTAGCTGAAGTAAGCAACTGCCTTGTCCTGCCACTCTATCCAAAATGGAATGATAAAATACCTTTTATTTTTTTTAAAGATTTTATTTATTTATTTGACAGACAGACATCGCAAGTAGGCAGAGAGACAGGCAGAGAGGAGGAAGCAGGCTCGCTGCTGAGCAGAGAGCCCGATGCGGGGCTCAATCCCAGGACCCTGGGATCATGACCTGAGCCAAAGGCAGAGGCTTAACCCACTGAGCCACCCAGGAGCCCTGATAAAATACATTTTAAAATGCAAAATTATTTCTACCCTATTGAGTCCGTGAATGAAGCCTTCTTTGGGGGGCACCTTTTGAGCAGTTCAGCATCTTTTTCAGCCTAAGGCAAATAAAGTCATCACAGGACTCTTCCGAACAGAACAGAAAGGGGATGCAAGATGGTTAACAGAGCAGGTCAGGAACAGTGGGAGGTGTGCCAGGCATCTCATGGTTGGGGGAAGCAAAGAGGAAGTCTGCTGCCTAAGTGAAGCTCAAAATTACTGTGAAAGTTCATTGAAAGTGTTTGAAAGCACGTTTCAAAGAGAAGCAGCCCACAGTCAACTAAAGAGAGGAGGAAGAGGAACAGAGAGAGGAGGGAGAAGCCCTCACTGGAGACTGTGGGCACACCTGCTCCTCAGGGATGGGACCCGGAAAGATGCTCTTTACAAGGACAAGCAAATATCTGGATTCACTGGATTTCCTCCGACTTTTCTCCTACAAAGGTGTGAGGCTACCAGAAACGGGCTAGACAAATCCAGGAAAGGGAGGGAGATCCCTGCACATCTCTCACCTAAAAGAGCCCGGTGACAAACAGGGACTCTTGGGGCAGATCTGTCTCAAGGGCAGGAAACCCCCATGTTAAGTGTCATACAAGTTCTCTCCCAGTCCCCTCCAAGCGCATGGCCCCAGCTACCTGGGAGAGCCTCTAGAAGAGCTGTCAGCAGCCCCCATAGCACCTGGGGCAGGGGGAAGGGGGTTGCCATCTGCTGGAAACACTGTGCCAGGTGTTCCTTGTCCTGCATCCTCTGGGACATACCTGTGGAGCAGCAGCCCGCCTTGGGGACAGAAACAGGCAGCAGATGTGCCTGCCGGGGCTCCCCCAGAGGGCAGGAGACCAAACCCGTGAGCAGTCGATCTACTCCCTTTCCCCTAAGACACCAAGGGTCAAAACCACCACACCTCCCCACACTAGTACTGTCAACATTGAATGAGGCCCATTGCCACGACCCTCCAAAGCTCCTAGAACACCTGTCTCTAACATATCAGCTGAGCTCAGCCCCAAGCCTAACATCTGTAGCATGGAATCTTCTGGCACAGCCTAGAGACTGTCTAAATCACTGCTGCCCCAGGAAGGTTCTCTAGGGCCCTCGGTAAAGTCAACCATGAACATGAGGGGGACTGAGAGCCTGAGGAAGCCTCTCTCCGTTCAAATTCTGTTAGTCTCCTCCCCGAGTGATACGATAACACACACCTGGACCACAGGTCGCAGGCAAAGAGCATCAAGCCTTCGAAGTTGTCTCTAAAGTTCGTCTCCCGAAAGAGGCAGCCTCGGAACCCCGACCAACGAGCTGCGGTGAGCAGGTCTGCACCAAAGCCCGCTCCACCCCGCCCCGGAGGCCCCCGGTCTCTGAGAGGCTCCCCGGCCCCCGCAGGGCCCGGCAGCAGCAGCGGTACTCACGTCTCGAAAGCGGTTCCAGTACTTGTCCCGGTCGTACTGGGAGACGGTGCTCAGCCACTGGTCATTGTCTAGGAAATTGCCGTTGTTGGGGCCCGCGCCGCCCGCCAGCGCGTCCAGGTGCCGGCTCTCCACCTGGAGGAAGCACCACGCCGCGGCCGCCGCCGCCAGCACCGCGATCGCTGGCATCTGCGGGCAGGGGGCACGCCGGGGCGTGAGGCGGGAGGGTAGGGCCAGGCGAGCCCCTCGCGCTGCACCCGGCTCTCGGCGCCTCGGCGACCCGCCCGGGCTGTAGGGACTGGGGATCTCACCGCGGGGAAACGGTCATCCCCCGCACACCCGGGGCGCCTGTCGCGGATCTGGAGACCCGGGGACCCCTCTCACGAATGGGGGGTTTAGTTTCAAATGAAGAGGCTGCGTCACAAATTAGGGGCTGCTACCAAACTACAGAGGACCCCTGTCGCCTATTCTCCGGATGCCCCACAGACCGCTACTCTCAGATCAGGGTTTTCAGCACCCCTCCCTAAAAACCGGGAGCCCGGGATCTGCAAGCCGCACTCCCACAAACGGTGCCCAGAGCTCCGGGGTAGGGAACGGGGAGAACCGGGCTCGGAGCAGCAGCCCAGGCTCCGGCTGAACCGGGCGCGGGGTGCGGGGAGGATGTACCCGCGGCGGGGGCGGGGGTCCCCCTCGCCCGCCCTGCCGCCTCGGCACGAGGGGCGCGCGGAGATACCCCCAGGCCCTGACCCTGCCAACCTCCCGGTGGTCGCGGGGAGGTCCCAACTACGCCAAGTTGGGGCGCGGGGCTCCGCGGGGCACGTACCGTGGGGGCCGGCCCGGGTGCCCGCGTCCGAGTTGCTCGAGCTCGCGTGGTGCGGTCGCGGAGGAGGCTGATCTGCCGGCTCGCTCTCCTACGCTCCTGCCACCCGCCGCTGCGCGTCCGGCCGCTTTGTGAGCCCGCAGCGCTCTGGCTCCGCTCGCTCTCCGGCTCGCACGGGCGCGGCGACCGCGGGCGGAGGAGCCGGAGCGCACGAGCCGAAGCCTCTGGCGACCCCTGGCGGCCGCGCGCTGCTGTGCCGCCCGCCCGACAGCCGCGCCGCCCCTGGGCCGGGAGCCTGGGACGTGGTTATCCACAGCTCAAGGCCGGGCTGAAACCAGTTTTCAGGCTCAAGCTGCTGACGCCGGGCGGAGACGAATGAGGACACAAGGCCGAGAAGCCAGCCAGCGTTTAGACATTCTCAGAAGAAAGGTCGTCCGGGCCACCCAGGTCAGACTCACCTAGGTCGGGGAAAGGAGAGGCCTTCTTAAAAATGCAGATTCCTGCCTCAAGCTCCAGACCTGCTGAATCAGCATTCCTTAGGAGGGCACCCTGTCCCCTCCCCCCTCCTCCCAGGTGAGTGAATTTCTGCCCTGGCCATTCCTGGTCGTGTGCCCACCTGCGTCTCTGCACTTCCGTGCCCCGTGACTCTGCCCACGTCTGTCAGTGCCTTAAAACAGTCCGTCTGACCTCCATTACTATAATGTCTACACCCTTCTTTCCCCCACGGTGGACCTGTGCGTATCTTTTCGTGTTCTTCTGCAGAGAAACCCATGTCTGCTTCTGTTCCCATCCCTTGAGAAATGGCCCCGGCACCAGCCTGTTGGATTTTCCTCGAGGGCAGGAAGGAGAAAGAGGAAAACTAAAATCAGGCTTGGAGGGGAGGAAGGAGTGGGGCGCTGAACCTGACCTCCCCCTCCCCCACCATCTGGTTTCCAGGGCCTGGTAAAATAGGGCTGGAAAGGAATTAATGCAGTGCCCTGTGTGCATACAGGTGACACTCACCTGCTACCTTTCTCTTGTACAACCACACCCCATTCCTTAGACATCTGAGTGATACCTTCTCCCCTCTTCTGTCAACACAAACACACTTAAAACCATTTGTGGTGCTTTCCTGATGAAAACCAAACTCAGAGTGAAGCCCCCAGACCCTGCACATCTGTCCCCGCTCTGGCTGCTTCTCATGCCACACTTTCCTCCTTCCCTGACTTCTTGGATAGGTTGGTCTTGGTACAGACCCTAGTGGGAATAGGCTCCCCCCCGCCCCAGCACAGGGTGCTCACTCCTGCCTGGGCCACTGTCCACACTCAGGCCAACATTGGCTTCATTAATTCACCTCTGTAGCCTATACATCCTGACATCTTCTGAGTAGCACTTGCTAAGACTCTTAGCCAAGACTTGCTAAGTGAGGCCCTCTTTGAGAACACATTTGTCCAACTGTCAGCTCACTGCCCTTGAAATCCTTTATCCATGTCTGTGCTCCCCACCTGGCTGTAGCAAGGGGAGGACAGAGGCCATGTTTAGCTCATTCTTCTCTGATCCCCTCCCCAGAGCCATGCTCCTGACACATAGCAAGGACTCAGAAAATAAGTGATGAAGGAGTGAATGAACGAATGAATGAATGGCACCCAGCTGTGGTCAGGGACCACACTTGGCCAACATTCCCCAACCTGCGTGGTGTGATCAATTACAGGTCGTGCCGCAACAAATTTGGTTCCATGTCCTTTCAAGTGTGGAAATTGGATTGTGATGCTTCCTAAAAATTAGCAGATGCTTATCCCAACATTGCTCTGACTGATTTACATTCCTAGAAGCATTCATGAGAGGGAGAAAAAGGAGTGGAGGCACAGCTATGTATTGGGGGCCCCATGTCATCCACGGTTTATTTTATTATGGAAAGATGTTCGATATTTCAGGATCCTGTCCTGGCTGCATCAGAGTCAGAGAGAGGTTTAATTGATGGAGAGAGCATTTCTTAGTTCTCATAGAAACCCAACCAAGCAGCCACTTCGCCATTTCTCTGCCCAATTTGACAGCAAAACTTCTCCAAAGAGTTGTCCCCAAATGTCATTCTGCCTCCTCAGCTCCAGTTCTTACTTTTTTTCCGCCCACTCTCATGTGCTTTTCATCCTCACTGACTAACTGAAGTGACTTGTCACCATCCGCAACCTCCTCCAAGTCATCACACTGAGTGGGAGACCTCAGTCCTCCCCTTCTTGGCCTCCGAGAGGTTCCTAGAGGCTCCTGTGGCATCAGCCCAGCTAGCTCTCCCACTCCCTGCTGGGCATGCCCACCGGTCATTTTCAGGACTCAGGCCTAGGCCCTCTACTCTGTCTACACTGTGTCCCTGGGTGTTCCCAGTCCTGTCCTGAGATTCGGCAGTTGTATTTCCAGCCCCAAAGTGTCTGGTGACTTCCAGCTGTACACCCAATTTCGTACTTGACATCTCCTCCAATGCCCTATGAGTATGTCAGACTGGACTGGGTGAAACCAGGAGTCTAGATTTCCCTCTGTGAACCTATGCTCTGAGAGCTCCCTATTATAGTAAATATAATCCCATACACATGACTGTGAAGGCCAGAAACCTGGGAGAAATCTGTCCCTTATTTTTTCTCGCTACTCACCTCCTATCAAGTGAGCTGACCCGTTCCACTGCCCACCACCCCTCCAGTCCATCCACTTCGCTCCACCCATATGGCACCCCAGGGTTCCGCAGCCACTGCTGCTCACCTGGAGGACCACACTGGCTTCTCCCTTAGTCTCCCCAATTCTTTCCTTTCCCTTCCAATCCATTATCCATTCAGGATGATTGCTTCCTAATAGAAATCATTCCCTTGGAAAAACTACTCAATGGCTCACCGTGACATGAAAACAAAACCCCAAACCCTTTCCCATGACTGAGTAAGGCCTGTACTATCTGGCCCTTCTCCCCCCAAGGCCCTGGATTCTCGCAGTACTCCTTGCCATGGTCTTTGCACACAATACAAGCATGCTCCCACCCCAGGTACTCAGCACTGGCCAGGCGCTTGGCCTGGGATGCACTCTTCCCGCACTTCCCAGCTCAACTTGGTGTCACACCCCCTCAGGGAGGGCTTCCCTGACCACCGCATCTAAAAACAGGCCCCCCCCAGCCCAGCGCATAACCACTCTCTAGGTCTTGCACCTGGTTGTCCCGTAAAAGTATTTGGTTCCTTTGTCTCTTTTCCAGTCCAAAGGTTAATTTCAGGAGGACATACATAGCGTCTTTTTTACTCTTGTATCCCCCAGGCTTATCTCAGAGCCTGGCAGTCAATGTACACTCAATAAATACTTATCCATGAATGAATGAATGAATGAATGAAGCACATTCCATCGCCCTTCATGCATTCCAAAGTTTGGAAACTGTCTAGAGGTGTTTCCTTTGGTAGCCCTTAAATCCCTCATTCTGCTGATCCAAGCTCTGCCTTTCTGTCAGGGCCTGTCCCCCGTTTAATCAGAGGACATCTGCTCTTGGCCAGTCTCCAAGTGCACAACTGGAACCTTCCTGGGAACCACCCACTGGGGTGGGCAGGGCAGCCAGAGCACCACGGGCAGGTGTGGGGGTGCTGAATCTGGCCGGAGCCGAGAAAGGACGTAACCTTGGAACAGGGGCAAGGAGGCTGGAAGCTGGAGACCTGCCATGAACACAGCCAGCTCTTGAGGGCAGAAATGTCAGATTTATTCGGCTGCAGGAAGTACCCGGGACCAAAATCAATACTGAGCCTTGGGGCTGTATTTCTGCTTTTCATTGGTTGATGCACGACTATAATAACTCCTTGTTTTAACATAGTTCTTCTTTCCAAAGTGCTCCACGTGTTTTATTTTCAGTTTAATGGAGCCTCAGACACGTGCTCCTGGAGAGTCTGAAGCAGACATAACCATCACCGTTCTATGCTGAGGAGAGGGGAGCAGAGAAAGGTTAGATGAATTGCTGAAGGTCGCAGAAGGAGGAAGGCGGGTCTCAGAGTGGGAAGTTGTAAGTGTAGCCCCCACTCCAGGGTGCTCGGCTGGCTGCAATGAGAACCACCCATTGGGCTCCATGGGATAAAAGAGGCGCCGGCGATACTCACCTTGTCACCAACCCAGATTAATGTTTAGCTGCAGCCTCCTATCTCCCTCCTACATGGCATTTCCATTGGGTCATTTCGCCGCCACTTTGAATTCGGCGTGTCCAAATTGGAATGCCTGAGCCTTGCCTCCTCGCTAAACCCGCTCCCCACCCGTGTGCCCACCTCAGGAAAACCAGCACCACCCCAAATGCCAGTGTCACTCCGACCCCCTCCTGAGCCCCCACTTTCAGCAAATCACCAATATGCCAAGTCCCCTAGGCGGTATTTCTGATTACACCCACTCTGCCCACTGCTACACCTCTAGAATCCACTCCCCTGCCACCTTTCATCTGCACCGCATGGAGCCCCCGACAAGGGTCTTCGTCTCTCCACTAGACATGTGTGATTCGCTCTCTCCACGGGCACCAGAACAGCCCTCTCTCAGTGGAAACGTGACCACATCTCTCTCCTTTACTGACCTGCTCATGCTGTCAGGATGAGGATCAAGCCCCAAACCGAGACTCCCTCTGCACCCTGCTAAGCCTGGACCCTGCCAGCCCCCTTGGTCCCACATAGCCCATTTCTCCTTTCCCTCTGATTTCCTGCCCCCCTAACCCCCTCCACTTCAGGGCCTACAGCCTAGATGCTCGCCTTACTCCCTGTCCTTCTCCTAGCTAGCCCCTGCTCACCCTTCTGATTAATTACGGCTTCACACAAAGTCCTCAGAAAAGGCTCTCCTGACCCTAGCCTCCTCACTGCACTCTTCGCAGCTGCAAAATGTCCATCCCCCACCAGACCTTCGGGGCACAAGGGTCTGGCATATCTGTCTTGTTTGCTGTTGACCCCACAGTGCTTAAAAAAAGCATCTGGTACCCAGGAGGTACACAGTAAATACTGAGTCAATCAGTGAGTGCTTATGGCTCAATGGATTTATTTCCTTCCCTTCTCAAAAGCAAAGCAGCTCCCAGGTTTCTGTCGGTGTCTTCACCCACAAACCCTCCATGGATGGAAGCTGGGATCAATGAGGGATGACATGACCACTCCATTCCCAGGCTGGCTGCTGCTTTGAGGGTGAACAGATCCTGGCCCCAAG